ACAGGGCCTCTGGCCCCACTGCTCTTGAGGGATCTTGGGGGCTGTAGTTTGTAGCTGAGAATCTGTCTCCGAAGGCAGAATGGGCCTTAGAGTTGGCGGCAGTTTGAGACATGGGGCTGTCATTGACTGGCTGTGTGAGGCTGGGCAAGATTCTCAACCTCTCTGGGTGTGGTCAGATGGGAGTCGGTTCCTTAGACTCCGAAGAACCGAAGCGATTTGAGGACGTCTCTTTTACCCAATCAGGAAACCTGGGGTAGCCATTACCACACACTACCTAACGTTACCCCACCCAGCCATTCCCTGCCACGCCACTGCATCCTTTTCATAGCCTGGGGGAGTCTCTGAAGGTGTTTTATTTAGTCATTAGCTCACTGTTTGTTGCCTGTCTCTCCCACTGGAATGTGAGATCCGTGAGGGCGGAATCTTGTCATCGTGGTCACAGCTGTGTCCCCAGGACCTATAGGTGTTCATACATATCTGTTGGATGAATAAAGCCCTCCTGGGAGCTGGAGGCTGCTTGGGATTCTCTCTCGCCCCCTCTCTCTGCCCTTCCCCTGCTCATGTTCTATCTCGCAAAAATAAATAAAAAAGCATTAAAAAAATAATCTTAAAGTCCTTCCCTAGCCCAACTTCTCTTGCAGCTTGAAACAGTCTTCCAAATCCAGGGCTGTTTTTCCTGTTCCCAGCGTCACACCCCAGAGCTCATAGCAGCTCCTCCCACCCTGCCCTGCACTTTGCTCTCGGGGACCTCAGGGCCAAAGATTCCTTCTTCTCTTTGCCCTTTCCCCCTCGTTTGACTAATCTGCACTTGACTCTCAGAATTAGTTAAGCTCAGGTATCACCTCCTCCCAGAAGCCCTCCCTGCTTTCCTTTTAAATTAATGCTCTCTTCTGACCTATTTATTCATTTATTTGAAAGAGAGAGAGGGAGAGTAGGAGGGGGCAGAGGGGGGAGAGAGAGAGAGAGAGAGAGAGAGAGAATGTGAAGCAGACTACACACCCAGTGCAGAGCCAGATGCAGGGCTTGATCTCATGACCCTGAGATCGTGACCTGAGCTGAAATCAAGAGTCTGACACTTAACCAACTGAGCCACCCAGACACCCCTCATCTGGCCTCTTTAGACCCTTGGTGCTCCCTGGTCCAGAGGTCAGTGTTCTCTCTGATATTTCATTTTTAGGATATTATTTTTCTAGGTAATCTCTTCCCCCAGTGTGGGGCTTGAACCCATGACCCCAAGATCAAGAGTAGCAGGCTTGGGGGCTCCTAGGTGATCTTGGGCCTGAGCTTAGCAGCTGCCTCTATGAGCAGCAAGCCCCCTCCAGGGAAGGAAAATGTATGTCCTTTAGTGAACCCTGGGCCAGGGTTCCTGCCCTGAGGAGCCCCCAGGGGGAAAGGGAGGAGGTAGGCAGACTCTGTAATTCACTGGCTGTGTGACCCAGGGAGGGTATTCACACCTCTCTGAGCCTCAGCTTCCTGATCTGGAACGGGAGCCAATAACATGTGCCAGCCTAAAACTCAGAATAATGTGGACAAAAAGCCAAGTTCTTGGTAGGTGCTTGATTATGTGCCCAAAGCCATCTCCTGCCCTTCTGATTCTTCCTGTGATTTGGCGGGGGGTGGGGGCGGGGGCGGGGGGGTGGTAGTTTCTAGGGAGACCCGTTAGACAGGGCCAGGACCATTCTAGGCTGTGAAGAGGAGCCTTCCCATTGTAAATGATTACCTGGGGGGCTGGGCTGGGCACCTGCAGCCTGGGTGAGGTTCTAGGACTCTGGGCAGCTCTGGACCCTCAGGAGGGTCCAAGTCCTCGTGACTAGCCAGCCCCCTAGGAGATGTCTGTGGGGTCCTCCAAATGGAGCCAGGTGCCACCTGGGAGGACAGAGGCCCATCTTTCAATCCCCCCAGATTCTCGCTCATGCATGCATTCATTCTTCCACTGCTGTATTTCCAGAATGTTGCACAGAGCCTGGTACGTAATAGGTGCTCATTCGATATATGTTAGGAGAACAAATTGATTCCACAAATTCAACACACACTTATTGAGTGCTTCCTGCACTTAGCCCTGTGCTAAGAGATGGTGTACAGATTGTGCCCATAAAGTGGATTGGTCCTGGTGACCTCTCCCAAGATCACCAGCAGGGGCTCTAAATCTTCCCAACTCTTCCCATCCCCCACCCTGCTTCCACTGGTTGCCAGACTCCAGGGATCAAGACTTTTTCCCTGACTCCGGTAATGCCCAAGTACCCATGCACCATGGGGCCTGGGAAGGCTGCACCTCCACAGGCACGACTCTCCAAATCCTCCCTGTCTTTCACGCTCTCCTCCAACCACTTCCCCCCTCCCTCTCAAACCCTTAGACACAGCCATCACCCCCTCCCAGTGCCCTACATCTGCCCGGGGTTATATCTGGAGAGGCCAGCAGGTGGCGCTGAGACTCCCCCCTCCCTCGCCTCCCGCGGCGCTAGACTGGACTCCAGACCCCACCAGGACCCTCTCCCTTCTTGCCTTTTCTCCCCAGCAGGGACAGGAGCGGACTGTGTGACCTCTAACCGACCCCTCTCCTCCCTGCTGGCTCCTGCGATGAGGCCTAAGGAGACTCCAGCTGCTCCTGCAGGCCCCGGGTTGTCTTTGCTTGCCTGGTGGGTGAGGGGGTCCCAAGGGGCCAAGCTGCAGCTGGCGGGGCGGCGCCAGGCAGGGTGGGGCAGAAGGCAGCTGCTGGGGGGGGGGGGGGGGGGGGGGGGAGAGGAGAGGAGAGAGGAGAAAGGAGAAAGGAGAGAGAGGTGCTTTGGCTCCTTGGCTCCTGCCCCAAACAGGTGGAGGTCCCATCTGAGGCTGCCCCCAGCGCAAGGTAGGTGGCTGAGGAAGCAGATGGGGCTGGGGGTGGGGGGTTCAGCCTGCCAAGCAGAGCAGGCCTGGCGGTGCTGATGGGCCGGCCAGTTGGGTTCCCTCTCAGTGAGAATCCCTGAGCTCCATCCTATCCTATCCCTTCCAAGGTGACCCACAAAAACTTGAGGGTCAGCAAGGAGTCCTGGGCTGGGCAGTAGGAGAGGAGGGCTCCATTGCTCCTCGGGAGCCACTGTGTGAATCTCCGGGAGCTCCTTCCATCTCTGGATCTCAGTGTGCCGATCTGAAATGGTGGGCGGAGGGGCGCCTGGGTGGCTTAGTCGGTTAAGCGTCCGACTTTCGCTTAGGTCATGATCTCGCGGTTCGTGGGTTCGAGCCCCGCGTCGGGCTCTGTGCTGACTGCCAGCTCAGAGCCTGGAGCCTGTTTCAGAGTCTGTGTCTCCCTCTCTCTCTGACCCTCCCCTGCAAACGCTGTCTCTCTCTCCCTTAGAAATAAAAAAAAAATAAAAATAAAATGGTGGGCGGAGGGAGATTTTGAAGCCTTTCTGTGGGATAACTTTGCCGTGTGTCCCTTTTCAAAAAAGGGTTAGCTCTTCCCTGGGAGTCTGGGGAAGACCGCAAGGTCTCTAAGACCCAAAGGAATGCCCTCCCCCTCCAATGGTGGAATTTCAGAGTGGGGGGAGAGCCTCATTTGGAGCTGTGGGAGCCCCTCCATGTCAAGGGCCCTAGGGTCCCGGTCTGTGCCGCCCTCCTCAACCTTGTTTCTCTGATGGGGACTCAGGGTGGAGAGTGACACAAGGTGGGGGCATTCCCTCCATGGCTGCTGTTCCGGAGGTCCCCTTGTTAGGGACAGGGTAGCAGAGGCAGGGCACGGGCAGCGCTCTGCCTCTTCAAGAAAACAAAAGAGGTGGATTGGGCAGAAGAGAGCGGGAGACATGTGGGTGTCCCCGAGGTGTTGAGGGAGGTGCCGTCCGCGCCCTTTATGAACTGTGGTTACTTGACAAGTCTCCAAAGCCCCCTGCACTTTAGAGTCATTAGCTCACTCACTGCTCACAGCACTCAGCCAGGCTAGAATGGTTGGGGAGGGGCTGGAGCTACCCTTCCCTCCCGAGCTCTCTGGAAGAGATTGTTCCAGATTGTTCTCTGGCTGGGGAGCAGCTGGCACAGGCAAGTTCTAGGATCTCAGGGATGGTAGGGGGGGTGAGTTCACTCTGGGTGGGGAGATAATCGAGTCAAGCACACGTGTGGGAGTCAGATCAGCCTGTGTTCAAACCCTGGCTCTGCTGTGGGTCTTCGGGCAAGTCAAGTGGCCTCTCTGAGCTGCAGTCTCCTGTGCAAAACGGGGGCCGCAGAGCGCACCTTAAGGGGTTCGGTGGGATGTAAGGGGCATCACGCAAGTCAAGCCCTCGGCACAGCGTCTGGCACCTAGTAGGCGCGGGTTGTTATTCTCATGGAGATAAAAATGGAGATCCCAAGAAGGGGAAGGACTGGCCGGGGTCACAGAGCTAGGTCTCCAGTGAGTCGGAGCACCCTCTTCCCCGCCGCGTTGAAACACTGAGCACCTACTGAATGCACCCCAGCGCCTACCGGGCACTCTAGTCCCCCCTACTCCCTGCTGTGACACTCCCCTCGGCTCCCGTCTGTCCAGGCCTGCAAGGCCTCGGGTCTGGGGTGAAGGATGGAGACCCCCCAGGCCGAGGGAGGGCGGGCCAGCCGCGGGGGTTGAAGGGGGCACCGATTTGCGTCTCGGGGCGCGCGTCCTCCCTGTCCCTGGGGAAGGGCAGGACTGGGGCCGGGTCGGGCCGCGTGCTGGGGGGACAGGAGCTGCGCGCGGACTAGCGGTGGGGGCCCCGGGCGGCCGGCGGGCCGCGAGGGGGCGGGCGTGGGGGTGCCCTCCGCCCTCACCCCGCCCCGCGCCTCTCCCCGCAGCGGGGGCGCCCCGCCCCCCGGGCGCCCGACGTGGACGCGGCCGCCGCCGCCGCCGCCGCCGCCGCCGCGCGGGAGTCGCTGTCCGCGGAGCCGACATGCAGGCGGCGCGGGGCGGCGCGGGGCGGCCGGGCCGGGCGGGCCGCGGGCCGCAGCGCAAGCTCCAGCGGCCGCCGGGCGCCGGAGCCGCGTCCCCCTGCGCCGCCCCGGGCCGGCCGGCCGGACGAGCCGCCATGCGCCCCGGGCCGCCCCGCGCCGCGCTCCGCCTGTGGCTGGGCTGCGTCTGCCTCGCGCTGGTGCAGGCGGGTAAGGGGGCCCGGGCGGGGGCTCGGGGGGCTCGGCGCGGGGCGGTCGGGCGGGAGTCCTCGGGGCCCCTTCCTGCCTCCCCGCCCCCCAACCCGGCCCCGGCCTTTTCCCCACCTCTTGACCCCCAGGCCCGTCCTCCGGCCCCTGACCCCCCTGCCTACCACTCCAGCTCTGGGGTCTCTGGGGTCCAGGGTCTTGTGATCCCCGGCCCCCTCATCCCATGGCCCTGACCCCAGGCCTTTGCCTCAGGTGCCCGAGCTGAGCTCCCTTCTCTGGCCCGGGGAGCAGCTGAGGACACGAGTCCCCCAACCTTGGGCCTCCCTCCCTGTCCCCAAAGCCCTGCAGGACAACTCTGCAGGTCGGAGCAGGATGGGGTCCCAGCTTCCGTGAGCATGTGTGAGGGGGAGGGGGACCAGCACCCTAGGGCTCTGGGTGGGTGGGGTGGACCCCTGAGCCTGCTGCAGTCCCTGTCTGGCCTGCCCCGTGTGTCGGCCTCACCCTCGCCCAGCCCCGGCTCTCCTGAGGCTCTCTCTGTATGTGTCCCTTTGGCTTCTGGCGCCTCGCTCATCTCTCCCTCTACCCATCTCTCTGTGGCTCAGTGCTTTCTCTCTCTCTCTCTCTCTCTCTCTCTCTCTCTCTCTCTGCTTCCTCTCTACGTCTGTCTCTGATAGCCCACTTGTCTGTTTTCTGGTTCTGTCTGCCGCCACCTGTCTGTGTCCCTCTGTCTCTATCTCCACTGTGGCTTTGTCGCCCCAGGCCCAGCCCCTGGGGCCTCAGGTCCACTCCTCTGTGGGGTGAAGGGTGCTGCTCAGAGCCGGGTCTTCCCCTTGCAGCACTTGCCCCTTGGGAGACAGAGAGGCTGTGTGACTCACGGCCCCTCTCCTAGAGAGAGAGGTTCTTCCTTCCCTGACCTCCACCGTCCCCGTCACTCTCCCTTCTTGACCGACCCCCTCTCATCCTTTTCCCGTATCCAGAAGACTTGAACTTCCCAAACTCTTGACTCTCCCCTGAGAAAACCTTCTCTGCGTGACCCCATCGTCCCCTTCCACCTGCCCCCCTGCCTCTCGAGGCTGGCAGAGTGTAGAGAAGAGGCTCACCCAGGCCCCACCCCAGGCTTCCTTCTGCCTGGCTCCTGGCTCACTATAATATTGGGGGTTCCTCTTGTGATCCTTAGTCCCAACCCAGGGCTCACCCTGGCCCGGCTCTTCTCGACCTCTAGGTCTTTCTCCTTCCCTCAAGGTCACTCACTTGACAGTGTGGTATTGTAGAAAGAGCACTGGACTGGGAGTCCTTTTGACTGCTTTTCATCAGACTGATTTTCAGCACCTACAACCCTGGGCACCTATGCCTGCCCCTGCCCCACCTCTTACCGCCGCACCCCTCTGCCACCTCTTACCACCCCTCCATTAGATCTGGCCCTGGCCCAGGCCGGTCAGTTTTAACTTGGACCCCCGATGGCGCCAATGTGACCAGTGGGGACTCCCATCCTGGACATGAGGAGCCTGGGGCCTCTCAGGCCTGGCTCTCCAGCCACGGATGAACTGAGATGTGCCAGCCCCATGGAGGCCTTGCTTTCTTCCTTCCCCCACTGTGTGACCTTCCCCAGGTTTCCACTTATGAGACAGTGGGCCTGGGCCCCACAGCAGGGGGTGCTCAGGCTCAGGTGCCTCCCCACCCCCAGACAGCCCCTCGGCCCCAGTGAATGTCACTGTCAGGCACCTCAAGGCCAACTCTGCGGTGGTGAGCTGGGATGTCCTGGAGGATGAGGTTGTCATCGGATTTGCCATCTCTCAGCAGGTAACCCTAACCCTCGAGGGTCTGGGAGGCAAGGACACATCAAGATAGTAGCAGGGGATGGGGAGGAGGGGGTACAGAAATAGAAAGGAAGGGGAACAAGGAGGAAGAGGGACAGGCAGAAGAATTGCACGCATGGCTTGGAACGGGGACCCCAGAGGGGAACGGATCAGTGAGGAAGGCTCAGGGGCCTTTGACTGGAATCTGGGAATCGAGAGCCTCGTTTGATATTAAACACAAGACCGGGGTTAGGGACCCGGCTCAAGTTCTGGAGAGGTAGTCTTGGGCAACTTCTCTAACCTCTCGGCACCCAGTCTCCTTATCTGGAAAACAGAGATAACGATAGCTCCCTGCCGGAGGTGAGGAAGCTTCTGTGTATAAAGACTTTCTTTATAAAAGCACGGTAGCCGGGTAACCCCTTGTCACCGCCAGAGAGGTGGGCAGAGTGGGGTCGGCGGCGGGGCGCTGACAGCAGCGGGCCTGGCCTTTGCGTTGGCAGAAGAAGGACGTGCGGATGCTGCGTTTCATCCAGGAGGTCAACACCACCACCCGCTCGTGCGCCCTCTGGGACCTGGAGGAGGACACTGAGTACATTGTGCACGTGCAGGCCATCTCCATTCAGGGCCAGAGTCCAGCCAGCGAGCCAGTGCTCTTCAAGACCCCACGCGAGGCGGAGAAGATGGCGGCCAAGAACAAAGGCAGGCCCAGAGCACTGTTGGGGGGGAGGGCTGGGTGAGTCTTGAGGAAAGCACCAACCCCCCCACCCTGCTGCCTAGTAAAGCAGTACCTGAGATGGGGCGCCTGGGTGGCTTAGTCGGTTAAGCGTCCGACTTTCGCTTAGGTCATGATCTCGCGGTTCGTGGGTTCGAGCCCCGCGTCGGGCTCTGTGCTGACTGCCAGCTCAGAGCCTGGAGCCTATTTCAGAGTCTGTGTCTCCCTCTCTCTCTGACCCTCCCCCACTCACGCTGTCTCTCTCTCTCTCCTAGAAATAAATAAAAATATTAAAAAAAAAAAAAAGCAGTACCTGAGAGAGGAGGTCACCCTGGTCCCCGAAACACTGGGGGTGTCTCCTCTCAGCTTCGGGTCAAGGCCCTGTTGCTGCTGCCCCAAGTAGCCATCGGCGAGTTCTCGAATCTCTTTTTGTTAGATGTCTGGGCACCGACAGAAATAAGCACTTAAGGTCCTGGGACTGGCCCTAGAGGGGTGGCTGGGAATGAACGGAGCCTTGGACCTAGTGTCCCCCTCTCCACAGATGAGGTGACCATGAAGGAGATGGGGAGAAGCCAACAGCTGCGAACCGGCGAGGTGCTGATCATCGTGGTGGTCCTGTTCATGTGGGCCGGTGAGTCTGCCTCCACGCTCTATCTAACTCACTCGACCTCGGGGGAATGAAGGCCCCTGGCCAGACCCCTTCTCGCACTGCAGCTTGGAGGCAGCTGAGAGAGAACGTGAGAAGCCCGAAGTCCGGCTCTGGGGGCCAGATCTGACTTCTCACAAAGAACGTAGTAGGTTGAGAGCTGCCTTGGAGGACTGGTTATGTGAGCGCTTGCCCTTCTCTCCCTCAGTTCAGCCACCTGGGGTGGACGCACCCACAGCCCCTTTGCCTGCTGGCCACGGCTGCAGCAGCCATGCCTCCTTCTGGGTCCCTGGGCCTCCAGCTGCTTCAGGCTTGGGCCACCTTCGTAACACACTTGTCCGTCTAGACCCAGTTCGGAGATGGCCTCCATAAAATCTCCCAGTCCATCCATGAGAATGGCCGTCTTGCATGCGCTCCCACAATGCACTGCTTGTCCCTCTCTTTAGCTTTTCTTAGACGAGGTAGTTGGGCTCATGTCTCTCCCTTTTCCCACTCGTCTGTGAGCTACCTGAGGATAAAGAAAAACGTCATCTTGGCACTTAGCCAGCATTTTCTGAACGGCCACCCAGTTCCAGATAGTAGCACTACGGTCGTGACGAAGGAGAGCCCTGGGCTTGCAGGGAACCGGGTCTGGGAGGAGCCAAGCCCATACTTAACTGGAATTCAGCGTGATGAGTGCCATCACCTGAGGGCAGAGGAGAGGGAGTTAATTCTGGGGCTAGGAGTAGAAATCAGGAAGAACACAGAGAGGAGGAAACGTGGGGATTGAGCTTTGCAGGATGAATAGGAGTTCACCAGGCAGCCAAAAAAAAGGAACAGTGTTCTGATGACGGCGTGTAGAAGAAACAAATTAAGTTCAGTCTGGCTCAGTGCAGCTGTGGCCCAAGAGAGAAGGTAGAAGGGGGACAGTGAAGGATGGTGAGGCTGGAGTTTTGAGGGTCTGGAACACCGTGCCAAATCTGCGTTAGCTTGGGGGTTGAGAGGGCAGGCTGGATTGTAGAAGTGTTTGGGAAAAAAAGTTCTGTAGGCACATCAAAGAACAGGCTCTTGTAGGGCGCCTGGGTGGCGATTAAGTGTCAGACTCTTGATTTCGGGTCGGGTCATGATGTCTCAGTTCACGAGATTGAGCTCCTGTGTCGGCCTCTGCGCTGACAGCTTGGAGCCTCCTTGGGATTCTCTCTCTCCTTCTCTCTCTGCCCCTTCTCCCCTGCTTTCTCTCTCTCTCTCTCTCTCTCTCTCTCTCTCAAAATACATGAATAAGAACTTAAGAAAACCAGGCACTTGTAGGAAAAAGGCAAAAAGAAAAGATTATACAAAAGAGGTTTATGGTGCGTTATTAGACTGGGCACTGACAGTACTTAGATACCCATAAAAACATGGTGAACTAACCCAAGATTGTGATGTGCTTCTGTTAGGATCGTGGGGAAGGAAGCGGGGTATCTGCCATGGTGGAAAGGCCAAAGATAGTATCTAAAACAGATCAAGAAATAGCACTATAAATAAAGCACAGAGGTAAAAATGGAGAAGACACCTACCAGCGCTGGAGTCAGCTGCCTTAATAGTATCTGACTTTCAAAATCTATGACGTTCACGTCTTATTAGTTTGCTAACAGTGAACAGCTAGCGGAGCGCAGGCCCTGGAGCGCACACCCCGGCTTCCCCCCACCACGGGCCCTGGAGTAGGCGCTCTGCATCGGCGTCCTCACTGGTAACCTGGGGAGGGCCATTACAGGTACCCTCCTGGCGCTGTGAGGACTTGGTGGCATCGGCCATGTCAAGTGCATCGCACAGGGCCTGACACACGTTCAGCGAGTGTTACTGTTTCTATTGCCCCTAAGGGGAAAGGGGAGCTGTCAGAGGTTTAACAGGGGGAAGGTGGGAGACGGGATCAGGTGCGTGTCGTGGGACGATCAGCCCAGCGGTAGCAAAGGGGGTGGCTTAGTGGGGGACAGGTGGACACAGGGGCCAGAGGTAAGCCGCTGCAGTGGTGCCGGGGGGGAGGCCATCGGAGCTCAGTATCTAACGGGCTCAGCGGGTGCCAGTGGGAATGAAGCAGGCAGGCGGGCCTCGAGCTCCGGCCTCTCACTCACTGCTCTCCCTTGTCCCCCCACCCGCCACCCCCAGGCGTCATCGCCCTCTTCTGCCGCCAGTACGACATTATCAAGGACAATGAACCCAATAACAACAAGGAGAAAACCAAGAGTGCGTCGGAAACCAGCACACCAGAGCACCAAGGCGGAGGTCTTCTCCGCAGCAAGGTGAGAGTGGGTCTTGGGCCGGGGTGGGCGGCCCCTGGGCTCAGCTCGGGTGCCCGCGTGGCTGCAGCTGGGCAGGGCCACGCTTGGCCGCTGCCTGTGTGACACACGGGACACAGCAAGTTGATCTTGGGCCTTCTCCAGGGGCCAGCGGGGCTCACCAAGCGCGGTGACTGGGGAGGGCAGAGCTCTTGGTTGGTGTGGGATGGCGCGAGTAGGGCGTAGGGCGTTCTAGGCCCATTCCCCCCCTGCTGGGCCGTGTGACCTTGAGCAGGCCCTTCAGCTCTTTGTGCCTTCGTTTCCTCTTCTGCGAAACAGATATGAAAACCTTTTCAGTGCTCGCTCTGAGCAGCTCCGAAGAGACGGTGGAGAAGTGAAAGATGTCACGGCTCTGACGATGATTATCCAGCAAACATCTGGCCCTCTCCACATGTCCTCCTCCCTCCGTCTCCTCACACCCCCTGGCTTGCTGTCCTCTCTCTCGGCTTCTCTCTTTCTGGCGCGTTTTCCTGAAGCCTCTCATTAACCCCCATCTCCAGAAGCACCTCAACAATGCCAGTGGCGGAGGCCGCGGTCAGAGGCAGGCCTGGAGGAATGCGCGAGAACCGGCCGGCGGGATGGCCCTGCCAGGGGGGTGGACAGGGGGCCGAGGGCCCAGCCCCCAGTCTTGGCCACTAAGGGAGTGAGGCCGAAGGCTGGGTTTGAGAAGGCAGAGAGACGAGGCACACGGGCAGGGCCACTCCTTTCCTTCCACGTGGGACGAGAGCCTGGCTTTTAGGCTGCAGCCCTTCCGGCTCGTGCCCTCTCCCTAGTTCCAACCTTGCAAGAAGTCTGTTCAATTAGCCCGGGCTGCTTCTCTCGTTTTTCTCCTCCCAGTTTCCAAACAAGCCCTCGGTGAACATCATCGAAGCATGACTGCCTGTCTGCAGGGAGAAGGATTTCATTTTTCTTCTCTGCCCGGCCCCGGGGTCCGTGGGCCCCGGGGACGGAGAGGACTGCGGAGTGGGGGGGGAGGCACGCTCTTCCCCATCCTAGTCTGGTGAAGCAAGCCGAACTACGAACCCAAATTCTGCAAAAAATAAACAAGCCACAAAACTAAAAGGCCTGGCCCCATTCTGGAAAAGGCAAAGCTGCATGAGACACAGCCTTCTCTCTGCCTCCTCGCCTCTCCCGGACTGGCTTCCTCTTTGAGACAATGCACAGAGCCCCTGGGAGATGACAGGCACCCAGACGTACTCCAGCTGTGTCTTGCAGACTGAGAGCCTTCAGGAAAGCCACGGGGCAGGGGCGTGGCTGCCAGCACGCCCTTCCTGGATCCAGCCCTCAAGGACTTGCGGTGTGAGGCACAACTTGGCGAGCGAGCGTGTTAAGATGTTCTGTTTGGTCTCTTTGGAAAACGTGACTGAAGGGCTTCACTCGAGAGGGCAGAGGAATTCCCCGAGCTCGTCGCCCACAGCCTCTGTCTTCTCTGGCCCTTGTTTTGACCATTGACGTAATTAGTGTGCAGTCTTCAGAAGATGAGGTAGGAAGAGAGACGTGGACAGTACTGGCCCCGTTTCTGTAGGAAGAGTCTCTTGGAATTGTAACGATGCTGGCTTACACGACTGCGAAGGTGTGTCCACATGGGACATCCTGGGGGCTGCCAAATCACCCACTCTGGAGTGGAAGCTGCTAGAAGGCAGGCCTGAGCCATTTTACCACGGACAGTCAGAGCAGCCCTGGCCCCTGGGGTCTCCATATCTCACCATCTCATCCAGGGTTCTGTGAAAGCTCCCCAGGGTCCTCCTGTCCTTCCCTAGAGCCTGAGTGGTGTGAGGTGACAGGTCTCTCTCTCTCCACTGCCCCTTTCTGGCAAACAAAACAAAACAAAACAAAAATGGTGCTTGATAAGGGAAGGCAGACTCTTCCCTAGGACTGAAAAGTTACGGCTGCTGGAGGCCTGCGGGGGAAGAGATGGGCCTCTGCGTCTTCCGTTGGTGGCTCAGGACGGGCATGTGGGAGGACCACACCTAGCACAAGCCTGGCACACAGTAGGCGCTCAGTGAATACCTGTTGAACTGAATGGTCAGAGCGGAGGCCCCGGAGCCAGAGAGCTGAAAGCCATCACCCAACGACCGCCCCTGCCGTCCGGTCTACAAGAGCTCTCGGGGCTCGGCCGGCCACCGCTCTGCTTCGCCCTGGTGTGGCCGCACAGGGAGGAGGAGAGACAGGGTGAAAGGCAGATGTCAGCGCTACCAAGGGCTTCCTCTTGGGAGGGCAGGAGTCTCCACTCATTGTCTTGTGACTTCCATCCCTGCTGAATGGGGCTGCAAGGCCAAGGCTGCTTAGGGGAGAGGCCCTTACCTCTGATCCAGTTAGAGCAATAACCTCTTTTTAAATGTAAAATAAAAGACAAATGAAAAGGCACATCCTTGTCTTCTGGTAAATGCCCAAACGTTGCCCTCTTTTTCCGGCAGCTGGCAGCAAGTCAGGATGTGTGGAGGAGGGAGTCGGTTCTCTCTCTCTCCATTTTGGCCTGCAGCTTCTTCGGGACATGCCTGCCAGCCAAGCTGGAGTTGGAAGGGAAATCTCGAACAGATGGGGGTGCACGTGTAGGAGGAGAAAATAGCTGCTCCTTCATCCTATTACTGAGGCCCCCAAATCCAGGCTTGGGCTGCCTCATCGCCTAGGTATGCAGGCTGGGGCTCAGTTTTTAAAACAAAGGGTTTTCCCCTCTGGGTAGCAGTTGGGTGTTTTCCCTGACCAAAGGCATGCAGTTCTGGCTCCTCCCCAGGGTGAGGAGGGGAGCGGAGACGCTGTGGAAGCAGAATTTAGCAGTGCTCAGTGTTCCCAGCTCGCCGTGTGGGGCTGTGGTGGAGTGATGATGCCATTGGCCAGTGAGCAAACCAGCAAGTGGGACACCTCAGAGTCTTTTTGCCCAAAGCCAGCAAGAGCTTGGAGAGAAAATGTCAGGTGAACAGGACTTAGGGTAGACTGTTCTGGAAGGTTCCAAGAGGAGGAAAACAGGTCTTAAAGGCTGGGTGGGAAAGTGGAAATCTGTTAGCACCCAGAACTCTAACCCTGAGGGAGAGGTACTTGCCAGGCCCTCGGTCCTGTGTGCCTGTCTGGTGCCACGTGGTGGGGCAGCCCCTAGGTCAGCATCAGAGAACGAGAGATGGGTGGTCAGGACGGCACTGCTGATGGGAATTTAGCGCTGCCTGTAGTAGTCAGCTGAGGGCCTGAGGGGGAGGAGTGAGCACTTCTGGTTTAGATGAACCCCATTCCCTTTAGGCATCTCCCTAAAACGCCATGTTCTGCGACTGAGCTTTTCTTGGACCAGCCGTCGTTGCACAGTAAACCTACAGCTGTGACTGGGCTGGGGTCCCCTCTTCACCGCACTTAGATCCGCACATTCCTCACAGCCTGGGGACGGGTGCAGGCACGTTCCTGGAGACAGAGACCGACCCACAGGCCAGGCTGGGCCTGTGGGAGAACGTTGGGCAATGCTGGACGGAGGGCAGAGACCCCGCCTTGTCACTGCGCGGCCCCTCAGGCCAGCTACTTCTGGGGGGGGGGCGGGTTCCTTAGCTGTCAAAAACAAAAAGGGGAAGAACAGGAAGAGTGAAGCCTCAGGGTCTGGGAGAGGAAGGACCACGCGTTTCTGTGCGGCCGAGTCCTTTCCTCTTTCTGATCCCGTCCCTCCAACCCAGGCTTTTCAGGGTGGCCTCCTCTAGAATCTACTCGTAAGATCTCTAATTCAGCCCTTTTATGAAAATATGTAATATCGCACCACTCTGGTCACGTGGTGTTCCAGACCGCTACGTTATTTCTCACCCTCGTTAAACCTATTTGACGGTTTGGGGATTTTGCTTTTATTTTTTTAATTTTTAATTTTTAATTTTTTTTATTTCTAGGAGAGAGAGAGAGACAGCGTGAGCAGGGGAGGGTCAGAGAGAGAGGGAGACACAGACTCTGAAACAGGCTCCAGGCTCTGAGCTGGCAGTCAGCACAGAGCCCGACGCGGGGCTCGAACCCACGAACCGTGAGATCATGACCCAAGCGAAAGTCGGACGCTTAACCGACTAAGCCGCCCAGGCGCCCCTGGGGATTTGGCTTTTAAGTGGCCTCCAAGAACAACCGCTCCCGTAAATGGGACGCGGCCCCGGCCTGGCTTCGGCCGCACCAGGCTCCAGCAGTACAAGATTCCCAAACCCTCAAAGTGTCGTTTGAAGCTAAGTCGAAGGCGATCCTGCCATTCAAACAGTTCCTTAATGAGAACAATAGTGATGCAGGATTACCACGTGTTTTAAAGGTTGTCCAAGAGATCCCATCCCACTCCCCGCTCGGCGGGTGCCGGGGGAGGCCTGCTTTTCTGTCTGTGGCATGTTCCAGCTGTCGTCGGACAGGACAGGTGGGGAGGACTGACCAGGCAGGAGCTTGTTCGTTAAGGAATTCCACGGCTGACCGGCTGACAATTCCTGTGACAAGTGGGAGTTTTTTCCCTGACAGGTGCTCTGACTTACAGAGCACGCACACCCTAGAGCCGGCTGAGGAACTGTCTGCTCTGAGGAAAGCAGGACGACACCGAGGAAGGCAGGGGACTCTGCTTTCTAGTTTTAGGTGGTTGGAGTTTTTTTCTTCTATAAAAGCTCAAAATAGGCTAGAGAATGACCCCATTCCTTTGAGAGAAGGTCCATTTCTCCTCCCCCTCAATTTCCTATAACAAAACGAACCAAGGGTAAAGGACATCGCCGCTTCAGAGAACGCAGCCTGTTCTCAGAAACCTTTGATGTCTGCAGTGACCCGTTGCTAAAAAGGAAATAAGCAACTCCCTGGGCAAGGGATCTCCACCTGACAGAAGCAAAATGGATCTGTATCAAATAGCTGCATGTTTAGCAAATTTATATTGAAGCTCTTGCGCGGACTGTGCAGCGTCCACTAGACAGAACTTACGTAACAGTGGGACAGAGAGCCTGTCCCAACATGTCGCTGCCTATTTCCTCAGCATGAGGGGAGATTTTCAAAGCATTGGCTAATATAGGTGACAAGCCCTTACTGCCTTCATCCTGTCTCCTGGGGCAAGCCTAAGCAGCTTAGGCTCACAAAAGGGATTGAAGGAACGCCTGTGTCTCCCACACCTACCCACGCTCATGCCACCTTCATCCAGGTTCCAGGGGCAGTCAGTTTCTGGAGAAGCTGGATTAAGAACACCCATCAGTGTTATCAATTCTGGTTTCCCAGAGCCCTTTTAATGGGAGAATGCCCTAGGATAGCTCAGCTTCCTCCCTAATCAGCAGTCGCTCGGGAGAGGCGGACACAGAGGTCAGCCCCACGGCCGCGGGGAGGACCGGAAGGCAGCGCTTGTCTGACGGGGCTGAGCCGTCCCCTCTCTGCAGAAACAGCAGCACAGCGATATTTCAGGCTTTCTCTGTGTCAGGCTCCTGACATGCACTAGATGTAGCTGCAGATCCCAATCATTTTCAACATTTCTTAACTGCCGGAACGCCTTTCTCAACACTGTAATTTACCCTCAAAGGAATAGGGAGCACGCACCCTCGCCTCCCCAGCACCACAATCTACTAACTGCCACCCCCGCCCAGACCCCACTAACCTACCTACACAGGAGAGGAAGGAACCTTCCTCCAAAGCCTGCAACAGACGGCCACGGTACATATGCCACGACACGTACTTTTATTTCTTTTTAATGACATTAAACACAACTGCTACAAGGGAAAAAACATGATAAAGAGGAGGCACCACACTTCAGTTTCATAATCGATCCCGACAACTCAAGTAAATCAGGCCTGCGTTAGATGCAAAACTACGGGTTATTTCAGGCTCTTAAAAGTAAACTGTGTAAACAGCACATTTTTACTCTTTGTCAAGACCCCTGTGGTGAGAACATCAACATGAACGAAGAAAGCTAGGCAGGGCAGCTGAATGCACATAACCGTCACTCCAATAAAACCATACAGCAAGAACGCATCGTGAAATCCTAGACTGAGAGGCCGGCAGTGCACAGGAGATATGCAGCTTTAAATACAGGTTAAAACTCTGGATTTTACCCACCACCATCTTTAAGGCAAACATGCCTGATAACGAGTTTTCTTTGGCTTTGTTTTTTCTTCTTAAAGAATACCATGTTAACCGCTGAAGAACAGTTCTCTCCTCCCCCAGTCCAACAGACTTAATTAAGCTGCTAAAGCTTTGGAAAAACAGAATTATTTGAGCAAAGAGGAAATGTGATTGTCACATTTTCTAGTTAACCCGTCACTCATTTGATTTGGCAAAGGCAAGGCTGCCATTACACATTCAGACTTAAAGCCTCCTGTACCCGGAGTGCAGGAACACGAGCCCCGGTGAAAGCCTGTCCCTCTGCTCCCCGGCCTGACTGTGGGGAACTAGACGGCCACAGTGCCAGGTATTCCAGCTACAATTAATTTTTATTCTGCTGTGGTTCCAAAGGTGGATGTCTGCTCATCTCACTCCATCATGCTAATTTAGGGAAATCTGGAGAAGTGACTGATACAGCAAACATCCATTATGCCAACTGAAATAGATTTTGACTCTTGCCTCTGGACAGAACTTCTTTGCATGTGATTCCAGAATCTAAACCAAATGTCCAAGGAAGAGACTCCTCATCTGGATAAACACAGTAAACACTTAGCAGCATCCATCTAAGTTTACTGGTGGCTTGAGTGACTAAACTTTTCCCAAGTGAGTGTCTGTTGAAGCCGGCCAGGCTGTTTCTGATGGGTTCCTCGCATGCAGAGATGGGCCGATGGAACAACAAAGGCAGACGGAGACCACAGGCTGCGCCGCGGCAACGACGCCCAGCCTTCCCAGAGCGTGAACAGTGGCACGAACGCCAGACCGCAGAATCTCCCAAAAGGTGTCTAGAGCTGGCTGTATAGAAAGAATGACACACTCCTCGACATCCATTAGGCTGCCCAAAGTCTGTCAACTTAAGTTAGAATTCCAAACCTTAAGGTCACATAAGGCTTTCGTGCACAGGCTTAATTACAACTGATCAGACCCGCATTAGCAGTGTTGTCAAACTGTGTATCAGAGGCTTGACCAAATGAGATGGTAATATCCAGAAGCTAAAGGCACCTCTTGTTAACTAATAATGGAGACAACAGAATGCCTCTCCAAAGTCTCTCCCACAGGATGACTAACACATCAACTCATACTTGGAGTTGGAGTTGAGCAGATGAAACTGAAGACCAACTCACACCTCAGTAGGACTGGCTTTCTGGCCTGTCTCTTAGAGTGAAGACTCTGGGTGGGAAGCTCTTTAACAAAGAGAGCAGGGAGGCTGTTCTTAAGAGGCAGATTAATGTCTAACAGGATACAGAAACACGCCAACAGAACCTAGTGGTCACTGGGGAAAAAGAAGGAAAATCCTTGAGAAAAGGCAG